TTTCTTACACCAGTCCTTTACATCATCGGAACTGTTCATTCAATAAAACCTTTCACGTACTCTCTAAAGGGTTTTCTTAACACCGAAATGTCCTCCTAATGGACTGTCGTATAACTGATAAAGTACTTTAGCTATTCTACTCTTTGGAATGACCATTTATCTTTTGTTCTCGGAACCATCATTATTTTCAACTACTCGCTTTAAAAAGCCGTCTTTCAGTATAAAAGAATTCCACTGAGCCAAATATGACTTAAGTACTGGGGAGAGATTAGATACTTCTTGACAAGTAGGTCGACGATTTTCCTCTTTCCATTGTCGCATCTTCTTTAAAACGGTATCGTTCTCTTGTTCTTCCCTAATTTTAGCAGGGGCCCACTTATCGTTGACTACAGTTGTTCTTAGTAGTCCATTTTCTTTGGATTCCGCTTTGTTGCAGTGGGAACACTCTGCTAGGCATGGTCTTATAGAAAGAGAATCGGCATTTCTATGACTTATTTCGGCTCTATGTCCGATCTTAAAGTCGTACTTTTGAAGTCGTTCAATCCATCTGGCGATTTGACCCTCCGGGTTTTTTAACTGCATCAATCACTTAAGGGCGGCATGAACGGTACGGATTAAGAATTTCCTTCCATATAGGTATTGGTAGAAGTGTTCTACGCATTTTACAACTGCCAGGAGTTCTCTTCTTGTTACGCAGTAATATCGCTCAGGTTTCGAGAGCACTTTACTAAAATAACCCACTACTTTTTCTTTCCTCCTTGAATCTGTGAAAACACTTCTTCAATTCCCAGATTACTGGTATCAGTATCCAGAATAAATTCTCCCTCAGGAGCTCGATTCTCGAGTTCATTGGAAAATTTTTGCATGGGAAAAGTTTTTACTATTTATATTCCCATGGTAATAGGTTATGCTATTCTCGAACTTATTGGAATAGACATTCTCATGGAAACAGTAGTTTCACGTATGTCTGAAATTAAGTTCACGAACTTAACGAAACGACCAATATAGCATTAAAGATATTTTAAAATTTACTGTTGGCATTATTGGTATTTATTGTGGTTTGTGGGTAACCGATTACCTGCCGGGTCCCTGTGCCGAGCAATCGCTAACATGAACAAGGAACAAGTGAAAATATTGGATTATGTATAATTAAAACTTATTGAATTATTCTTAGCTTTCCTTTTTACGGGTCGAAAAAAGAAAAAGTAGCTTTTGTACGGAAGAGCAACTTAAGTTTTTAGAAACTAAAAATTTCCTTCGTTAACGGAAATAATAAAAGGGTCTGCTTCATTATTTAATATACTACAAATATCTCAATTTGTAAATTTGAATTATTTGCCAGTCCCTCAGTAGCTCTCAGATTTAAGAAAATCATTTCATACAGTTTCTTAGTAAAAATAATGTCTACATAAATAAAATAATATCAATCAACTTAAATGATAAGCACAAATAACTAAAAATCTATAAATACGTCAAAAAAATGTTTTAACTAAAATTTCACGAAAAGTCCAAGAAATCCAAAAATATTTGGTTATGTGTTAATCTTTTATCAAATTTTCGACTTTAATGCGCAAGCTCTAGTATAATTCCCATTGGAAAATACAATTACCAATGCTCTTAAACAGAGGAATATTTTCCCATACTTCCCATTCCACCGCTTATGTCGAGAATACGAAAACTGAATTCCCATTGGAAAATTTTATTTTCCCATGGGAATAAAAGTGGAGAATTGAGTCCCTGGTAGTGCGTAGCCTAGTATTAGCGCTGTTGTTAAATGCTTCTTTAGTGTTGCAAAGGCAGTTTGGCAGTCTTGATCCCATCAGAATTCTTTCGATTCTTTTTTGAGTCGTTTTAATGGCTTAGCAATATTTTATGAATCTTCGGTAGTACGTACAGAGCCCAAGAAAATTTCTTATTTGGCGTTTATCCTTTGATTGTCCACTCTTTGATAGAAGCGACTTTTTCCTTATCTACAGCCACGCCATCCTTGCTGACTACATGACCCAGGTAATTAACTTTATTTTGAAATAGTTGGAGCTTCTTGGGGTTTATCATCAGTTATGTAGCTTGAAGTCTTTTAAAAACATCTTTTAAGTATTTTAGATGTTCATCAAATGTCTTCCTCAAGACTATGTCGTTTAAATACACCAGGCATGTTTTCCAGGATAGCTCTCTCAATACATTTTCCATAAGTCTTTCAAATGTCGCAAGGCATTACATAATTCAAATGGCATGCCATTGAATTGCCACAATTCAGATCCGGTGGTAAAAGCTGTATTTTTTTTATCTACTGGGTCCATTTCCACCTGCCAGTATCCAGACTTCAAGTCTAATGTAGAGAATAATTTACTTCCGGCCAATGTGTCCAAGGTATCGTCGATACGAGGCAGAGAGTAAATGTATTTCTTGGTAACATTGTTTAACTGGCGGTAATTCACACAGAACCTCGTAGTTCCAACCTTTTTCTGCACCAGAACTACCGGAGAGACCCATGGGCTGGTAGAAGATTCTATTACCCTGTCTTCCTTCATTTCCTGGACAATCCTTTCATCTTCCTCTCTCTTGGTCTTTGGTAAGCTTCGAGCTGATTGACGAATCGGCCTGGCGTCACCAGTGTCAATTTTGTGTTTTACAACAGAAGTTCTTCCTGTTTTTCCTCCTTTTGGTACACAAATGTCACAATATCGTCGAAGAAATTCCTTTATTTTCTTTTTCTCTAATTGATTCAGAGCTTTACCAGCAACTGCAATCATTTGCTCGAATTTGTCGTTGGAAGTTACTGGTACTGTAAGGAGTTTTCTCGCCACAGAGAAAACGGTTCCTTACGAATAGCACTGTGGTTACGGGCGGTTCTGTAGCGTCAGATTTTTGGTTATGGTTTACTCCAAAAACTCTCGAAACGGCGTCGATAGTACTCGGGTAGCTACAGATGGAGATGAAAAATTCCAGGGGTGAAAGGTCACTTAGATACAGGTAATAGTAGGCCACAAGTAACGGGCTTTAATCGTTGCTTGGGCTGGTACAGAATTTATCACTAGCTGAAATATAAGGGAGAGATAAAGTAAGGAATTAATAACCAGTAATACGGCAAGTTAACATTGACACATATATTGTTTTAAACTATTTAAAAAAAAAATAAATAATGTATTTCAACACCCACCCTCATGGTAATATGTACAAACCCTGAACAAAAATAAACAAACAAGACGGCTGGAAATGACTTTCGAATAGTCTCAATCAGACGTAAATAATTATAGTAATCACGGTCGCAGCTAAAGTTTATTATTGAACTGTCTATTCGGTTGTTGAACTAAAAATGTAACTTGATATTTAATTCGGAAGTATTAATTCGGTCGTAGCAAAAATTAACTGTTAAATTGTTTAATCGGTATTTACAATCAAATGTAATTGAATGCTTCGGCAAAGCAAAATTTCATATGCGGTTGCAGAGAATGCGAGGAGACAGGTTCGGGACAATACTAATTCCAGGGCTGAAACCGGGACTCTATAAGAAATTTACTCAAACGAGTGGGTGGAAAGTAAAACCAACTAACAATCGGGATAGTACATTTCTCTGAATGAAGTGATCGTAATTACGAGCCGCTTCAGACAGGGGAGTGATACTATTTAAGTTCACTTAAAATAACGAAGTCTTACATAAAATAAACTAATAATCGGGATAGCACGTTACCTCTGGATGAATGAGGGTTTCAGACGTAAAATAAACTAATAACAGGGATAGCACATTATATCTGAATGAAGTGATCGTAATCACGAGCCGCTTCAGACAGGGGAATGATGGTATTTAAATTCTCTTAAAAGTTGCGGTTCGTAGGATAAAACAAAAGAAAATGTCTCGTCACAATTCTACTAAGATAACCAATCAAAACATTAGACAATTCCCAAATAGTTCCGATCAATTATTTATTGGTTAAAGCTTTTAATAAACTAAAATGAAATTTACGATTTGTCCACGGAAATTTATAGTAGTAGGAAAAATTATCTATACGACTATAATTACGATCGAATGAAAAATAAATTATTTAACAGTTAAAACCTTAAATAAATTAAAATGAAATTTATGATTTATCCACGGAAATTTTAAGTAGTAGGAAAAATTAACTATACGACTATATTTACGATCGAATGAAAAATAAATTATTTAACAGGTTGAAACCTTAAATAAACTGAAATGAAATTCCAAAGAACGGTGTATGACAACAATTTACTTATCGTTAAGATCGCGGCTAGAAATGAATTTCGGTTTTGATTGTCGGAATCGTATCGGAGTAATTTAATTATTCGTCTATTCAATACAACGCACAGTGAATCGGACATATGAGGAAATAGGTAAAAAATCATATTTTGTGTACGGTTGAGCCGAGTTGAACGAAATGAAAATAAAATGAGAAAAAAAGCAGCTTACCTTTATTTTATACGTTCTTAGACGCCTTGCAGTAGAATAAACGATTTTGGTGCTCTCTTTGGATAATCCAATTTTTAAATGATGAATATTGCTGTGTTTTTGTAGGATAATTGGCGCAATAAATGAAATTCTATAGAAAACTACAATTTATATAAATATAAACACAATCAAATATAAAAATGCCTATTATTTTATTTAGCCTAAAGAGCTATGGCTATCTACTTAAAATATAAGTGGTATTTATGGAAAACCTCGTTAGCAAAACTTATCTAAAATATTTTTTATTTTGAAAACGAGAACAATAATTCTATAAAGAACAATAAAACTATAAATTTACTTAACCACGAAATACATTTTTTCTTTCTTTTAATAAAAAGAAATTAAATGATTTATGATGAATCAGATTCCGAACTACCATCATTCAAATTAACATCAGTTATATTAAGACCATCATTATAAGTAGAAATGGGTTTAATTTTTTTAATATTTTGTTCGAAGACGTATTCCTTTGATATGCTATAAGGGGTTCCGAGGTTAAAATTAAAGTGTTCATAAGATCTGTGTTACAACTAACTCTTGAAGTTTTGCGGGTATGAGACAATCGGTGCTTCCTGACTTCCTTATGCCTTGCTTCTAAGGCCTCCTCGGATAACTGCCCTATTGGTAAATCAAAGGAACCGATTATATCGCACCCATGAACAAGGATTTTGTGAACGCCGCTAGGCATATTATACCACTTGTATAAGTGTAAGTACATTTCTCTGGTACTTTTAAGTAACACTGCAAACAGTTCTAGATCAATTTCGCAGCCGCTTGCGATTACTCTAAGTATTATCGAACATTTTTGTATTAATTCCTTATTAATGCCAGTGATCTCCGAAGAAAGTTGGGGATTAAAAAAGAAACGCCTAGCAGTATTTCCATCATTGGAAGATCCATAGCCGGGCTTAGGCTTATCTACTATAAGTCCCATTTTAGACTTAAACTCTGCCTGGATCCGTTTTTTGTTTTTTTCCACAATTCGCTTATTTTCATCTCCACGAGCTTGCCAACATTTTATTGGGAGTTTGTACGATATATGCAAGAAACATTCAAAAAACCGTATCCAGCAGTGAAGAGAAGATAATCCAAAACGGTAATTGGATATATTCGGAGGCCTGTTCACAACGTTTCCGACATTCATTTGACTGGGAGTTGCTCCACAAATAATACATTTGGAAGTAGCATTAATGTTAGACAGAGTATTAGCTACACTGCCATCCATCATGGTAAAAATTAAGTCATGCTTGACAGATATTTCTTTACCGTTCTTAATTATTATTTTACTCTGCTGCAAGCCATCAATTTTTTGTTGCATTTGCGCTTCCTCGTTTCGAACAAGGTCTCGGTTCTCTTTTGCGAAAACAAATTTCACAGGCCTGCAGAATAGTGTCGATGACGGTTTTTTATTAATCCAGCACTTATTAATCGAGTCCACATCGATTAATCTAAGTGGAACTAGGGCTACCAGAAACATAAATTCGTCAGTGTCCTCGTCATTTGAGAACAACTGCTCATAAATGCTATGGCCGGAGCTCCCATCCATACCCCACTTATATATTAACTTAAATCTTGTTCCATAAATATCCAATATTTTGCAAATGCTTTGCGCTGTTAGGTCAAGTAAATTCTGCAATTCTACCTCAGCTGAAGTGTCCGTAACCTTTAAACTGGTTGGTAAAAATGATTTTCTTGCAATTTTCAAACTTGGAAGACAGTTTTCATGTAGTCCGTTAATAACAGTTCTTAATATTCTCTACTTTCTATCAGATAAGTCCAAATCGAGACATAAGGCTAAAGCCTGATGAGGTGTCAGACATTTTTTGTTTTCTTGTTCGGATCCGCTTGATTTTCCACTCGCCAAATCTGCTGCAAACCGCAATTCCTCAGCCGTTCGATTTGCCACCAAATCTGAAACACGGCTTTTTTTAACCCTAGTAGTAACTTCTTCAAATGGTTTGTAAGGTCTCCCACGTGCTTGTTTGCTCGATCCTGGCTGAAGTTGGGTAGCATCAACCAAATTAGGTACATGAACTTTTCGCTCCAGCCTTTATTAGTTGAAAGAAACTTATCACGTATTCGTGAACTTTTCTGCCACTTTTTTTTAACATTCAAACAGAACAACCTCGTAATTTCAATAAGGCTTTTATGGTCAGATTCGCAACAATCTTTTAAGTTTAACTCAGTACGTAATTTATTCAAAATTATATCATTACAACGATCTTTCTTGTTATCTATCCATAACTGAGCGAGTTCCATATTCGTGATATGTGACCCACCTAAAAAAAAAAAAGAATATCTCCTGAAGTAGCAGATTGTAGCAGGTAAACAAAGTGGATTTTTACTGTACATAAAAATTTTATTTTAAATGTACAATCGAGAGAAAACGTTTTGCGTACTTTTTTTTTAATTCCTCTTTATATTTTTTTATTTTTACTATACATAATTAGATACATATTCAACTTCTTGAATGGCCTGTGCAAATTTTCATGGCTACAATAACCCGTTGAAACAATGTTTTAGCAATACATACCTGTAGCTTTCGATGCCATATTAGCGGGTTGAAAATACTTTTAACAGTAAAAATATACAAAATTTAAACTGACACTGTAAACCGCAGATTATATAGCGCTTCAATTTTCACTTTATTAACTACTATTTGCAGCGCAGACAAAATTGAAACTGACAATACTAACAATGTTAAAACTGGATTTTTAAATGATTGAGGTTATCTGTCAAATCTACGCAAGTTCAAAGTCTAAATATTTTATAATTCGTTTGTTCATTTTTTGCAATGGCTCAGTTCACTGTGCAACGGTGTAAAAGCAAGTGTTCTAGCAACTGTTCGATAAATCGGTGTCTTAGGAACTAAAAATTTTAATTCAATCTCGAACCTCGTTCAGTTGTCGCTTGCCCTTTCACTACCAGTAAATCCCACCATTATAACGCGCACACGTAGAGTATCTCGATGATTTTTGAACAGCGACAAAACTGGTGATATACAGGGCATATCCACGAAGTTAAAATTAAGTAAAAATCGAATTTAATACCAGGAATTAGTTAAAAAAATTACTAATGAAAATTGACTTCATTACAGTACACAAGTTCTGATTTTGGTCTCTTTCTTGATGGTAATTGGGTGAGCATTAACGTTAACTGGAATCATAATCATAATCTTTTATTTCCAAAAATAATGTTGACAATATATAAACATAAATAACATTATAGTGAAATAACGTCACAAATGTATTACCTAATGATGAAATCCAGTAATTCACTGCCTTGGAACTTGGGATTGAAAATTAAAATACCATTTTGTCTTATCCTCTTTTCCAGAAAGTTATTCCTTGACTTAAGATCTTCGGTATCTTTTTCTAATGTTCCAATTTTAATCGAGTTACCTTTTATTAAGTCTTTCACTTCTTTAATTTCAGCAGAGTTTTTTTGACAAGTATGTTGTTTCGTTCAATTATGAATTGTTTTATTTTATCCATGTTATTTGATTTAGTAATTAACTACCATAACACCAATTATTCTTGCCCCCCGAACTAATGCTTGTGAATAGATTTCAAAGATAATTGTTGTAATTAATACTACAAGATGGTTTTCATGAATCTGTTTATTATCTCATTAACACCTATATTTATAATATCACAAACAATAACAATAAAAAATAACAATTACAATTATTTAATAATTTAAATACACATTCAAAATATATTATTCCAATTTCGACCTCGTTCAATGTTTTGCAAATAGTTTTTATTTTGATTTAGTCAGCATTTTTATTATTATAATTTACACATCGAACTAGATACGAAATTGGAACGCTGTATGAAATTAAACATTTTAAATAAATAAAATAATTAATTTAATATACAGGATGTTGATTTTATTATGTTCAAATCTGAACATACTGGCGACTCTCAAGTTGATTCACCCGGATTTTCGGTCCTGACTGAGGCTAGTGGCTACAGTTCGATCATCTCAGCTTGGTGTGGCGATGCTGGTGGACCACGGCAGATGTGGTGGTGGATCTTTTTGTATAGGACCCATAGAGCTGTTAGTATAGGTAACGTGATAGCAACTGTGATGGCATTCGAGGTGTAGTTGTGGCTCTTGATCCTCTTCCAAATTTTCTCATGCAACTCATCATGAACTGCATTTTCTTCGGAAATTATGGAATTTAAGTTATCCGTAATTTTAAAGACAGGTTCCTTCGGGATTGTTGTTTGGATATCTTCTGGTGCACTTTGGCTGAAGTTAGACGTTGTTAATGCCGATTTAATGTAGGTCGATAAAACTGGAGCTGTAGCCAAACGCTTTGGTTGCAGGATGTTTTGGTTTGTCTTAATGACACAGTCTTCTAACAGTTTTATAAAGCCTGTAATGTTCAATAACACGTCTTCTCTAATACCACTGCATGTTACAGCTATCTTAGTAGGTTTGTCCGTGAGAAACAGCCATGTGTTGGGCATGTGTAGCTGTTGCCATACAATTGAAGATGTTGAAAATTGCCTTACGTGACAGTAGTTGCGTCCTGGTCTCTCATAAATTTCATCGATAACACAATTAGGACTGGTCTCAATATTTCTTACGGCAGAAGGTGAACATATATACTGATGATTTGGAACTGGAATGCAGTGGTTAATTTCTTCTTCGCTGAGTTCGAAATACAAATTATTATTATAGTCGATGGCAATAAGATTTCTTGATATATCTAGTAGGTAGTAGGAGCCGTTTGCCAGATAGAATGGTGTAGGTGTGACTCTGATCAGCTCATAGTTGGAGATGTCTAGTATCACAAAGGAACTGAAGATCTGGATTTCTTTATCGATGTTTTCTAGTGCTATGTTTATCGTTGGAGAGGAGCGTATTCTTAAATTTGCTGGCAGCTTTTGGTTAGCTGACGCAATGATTTCTCTTACGTGAGCAGGCGACATCAGATCGTACAGAGTTCCTCTATTGAACTGAATATCTAGAATTCGGGAATAGTGATGGGTTAATTCACTTAGGAAGTTTGATCCAATCTAGTAGGCACTTAAAGTATGAATGTTTAGGGTGTTGACATCGACTTTATTGTACCAACTTTGCATACCATGTATTGCATCGAGGCCTTGGTTGAGTTTTGATCTAAAGCGTTCTAGTTGGTTTTGTATTCTGACTTGTAGATAGTTTTTGATTAATTTCACCGAATTTTATTTTCATTTCATCTAGTTCCTTGCTTAGGTCATTTTTAAAAGACGCTAGGAGGGTTTTAATATCCCCAAATTGATCCAGACTAGCGTTACATGCCGAACAAAATATTTTTAAACATTTCGCGCGGTTTCGCGTGACTCAATCTTCTGCTGATAGTCCCGTGCAGGCAAGGTGGATAGGCCGTTTACAGCCATCACACTGAATGTTAGTCGTATCTCGATCAGACACTATTTTCGTGCAATTCGCGCAGTTGACCGTGGGCATCGTGAGATAGTAAGTAAATGATGGAATTGAAATAGATTTGTTGACAAATATCAGGTTTTCAGCACAAAAACTAACATTTACACCTTGTGTCGTTGATTTTGGATAATGTAGATATCATTATCTTACTTTGATGGCTAGTTGTTTTTATGATGAGTTCTTCTTGATGTTGTTGCAGTGCTTCAATATCTTGATACACTTCGTCATTGACGCCAAATACAGATGTTAGCAGTTTTCCAAGAATACCTCTTTTGAAACGTTCAACGTTTGTGGTTAAGCTTGCATTAAATTTTTGCAACTGTTTTTTTTGTTCTATTAAATGGCACAGGAGAATGTTGCAATGGGTTCCGTGGTATACTGACAGAGATTTGTGAAATCTTCCACCACTTTTGATGCATCACCAAAATCTTTAGCAATCTGACTTGTTAAATTTTACTTCTATACTGAACATTCCTCGGTCTAACCTGCCTTGTCCTAAGTGCTCTATGTATATACCTGGTTTGGGATATTGAATGCTGTAGGTGGCTTGAATTTGGGGAACTGGGAATATGAGAGCTATTAGGAATAGTAGTTTAAGGCATGAGTAGGTGGTGAAGCTTTGTGGTCTTTTCTCAGGCTGTGTACGATGCACGTAGACTTTCGCTAAATGACTGTTTACAGTCGCATCAGGAGACATTTTTATAGGTTTGTGAGATTCAGCATCAGTAGGTAACGGAATTAGAGTGTGTATTGATCGTTTTAGCTTGTTACCTCCTGCTTTTGTTAGGGTCACGACACGGACTTTTTTATCATCTCCTTGGTGAACTTCAGCAACTCTTGCCATAGGCCAACGGCTTGGATTAACAGCTTGATTTCTAAGTTTTTAACCAACTTAATACGGCTAAACAGTAAACGCTGATTTTAAATAATATTTTAAATTCAATTTGTAACTTACAGTTGTGTAATTAATGATTATAACTTTTCTAGAAACACAAGAAACACATAACCCATCAACTGACAGGTTTTCAAAATTTACACTTTCCTATAAACCACTTTATTTTCAAACTTTTAACACGAGCTCACATCAATAGGTTTACATTCGTTTGTGTCTACAAGTCTTTATGATTCTAGGACGCTACCTTTCAGTATGTCAATATTAATGCCATCTTGCTCATGAAATTGCATCCCATTTATTTTAAATATAGGAATATTAATTTGTAATCCAATGTTATCTAACAGATCTTGAATTTCAAACCCTTTATCAGCAAGTATTATATCTCCTTCATCTATTTGCTTGCGATTCTTTTTTGCTTTTAGCAATTTCAAAAATCCACTTTCTTTAACAAGTTGTTTATCAGATATTGATCCTGAAAATATAAAGTTTACTTTATTATCTTACAATTAATAATATTCTTTTTACATATTTTAAAATTATCTATCGAAACCTAAATTACGATAAGTTCCTATGTTATAAAATAATAGTGAATAATTTCTTACCAGTAAATAAAGTTGACACAAATATTATAGCACCATTTGGATTTATCATTATCAATGCTTTAAGCGTATTTGTACCTTTATAACTGGAATAGCATTGTGATTGCCTCACTAAAGAAGATGGTTTTTGAATATTAAATTCTGTGCAGTCAATACTTCCTATTACATTGGGATATTTTTTAATAAAATTATGAGGTGCGTGAAACAAAATTTTATCTCGATGAGGAAATATATCCATATCTGCTAATCTTAAATATAATAAATTCACCCAAGTTAGAAATATCCTTGCAACTGCTGATTGAGATATTAAAAACAAATGTGCTAAATGATGATATTCATAATTTCTTCTTAATTTTATCAACGTTAAGAACATTTCGTTTAATGGGGTCATTTTATGCTTTCTTCTAAGTCTTTTACCTGTTTGATGCACAGCACCCATTGTAGTTTCTTTTTCCGATTTAAAAACAAATCTAAATATAATTAGTAATTTGTATGATTGAACACCGGTATAAAAAAAAATTTCTTTATCATCGTACATGAAATTTTCTACAGAAAATCTGCTAGTCAATCTAGTTAGTGCAAAATGTTTTCGTCTTCTAATTTGGTTTGCAGTTATATTTTGTCTGCTAGTACCGGGATTTGGGTTTGTATCTTCAACATTTTCAATATTCACATTTTCATTATTAACATTTTCATTATTTTATATGTTACTTTCATATCCAAGATTTTGAGAAGGAACCCTTTTAGGTTTTAATTTGGTTAAAGTTGCAAATTTAAATAAATCATCTTCGTTAAAATGGAGTATGCAAATCTTAAAATTAATTCATGTTATGTTAATTTTATATTTTTATAACAGTTAAAACATACCCTTGTACTTTTTATTATAGATTGGGGATCTAATTTTAAGACTTCAATCCATCTGTCTCGGATATTTGATGCAGGTATACCAAAACTTGGTACATACAGTTTTTTTCTTGAATTAGGGCAATTAAGGACACAACAACGCATAATAATTTTTTTTAACCAACCATAAACAAAAAATAACAATATGCCAAAGTTTTTATTTCCCCTCTTTTCGCTGCCACGGGTTGTTGATTTATATAACTAGATTTGAATGGAGTGGGGTTCGCGCCCAATCTGTCCGCGCATATGTTTTCGAGAAATTTTCAATTACGGGAAAGGTGAATTATACAGAAATCCCTTAGTACACTACGATAATATTTAAGCTGACTTAAATTCAGTAAGTGATTGGTGCTCGGACTGGCTTCTCCCGTTAAATATAAACAAGCGCGTGGTGTTACATATCGGCAAAAATAATCCACGTCTTCGTTACTCGCTCGGTAGCCATAATTTGGCGCAAGTATCTTCTTATGTCGATTTAGGTGTTTTAGTGACGTCAGAACTAACATGGTCTGAACACATTTTAAAAACATGTAAATGTACAAATTCGAGAGACTTTTGCAAAGGTATCCTTTCATACATTCATCAAATTATTTAAGACTTATGTTCGACCTTTATTAGAATATGCAGGTGTAGTTTGGTGTCCGCTTCTTGTGCGAGACCAGAACCTTTTAGAAAATGTTCAACGCCGGGCTACCAAAATGACCTTTGGAGTAGTCCGACCATCATATGCAGAAAGACTACAATTGTCAAATTTACCAACTTTTGCGAATCGTCGACTACGTGGGGACCTAGTTCTGACTTTTAGAATACTTAAGTATAATTACGGAAATCTTAGTGACATTTTTTTGTTAAATACTGACTCTCGTCTACGTGGTCATGAACTAAAATTAAAAAAGAAAACCTATAAACGAAGCACAGACAATCATTCCTTTCCAATCGGGTATTTAATATATGGAACGACCTCAGCGACGAAGTTGTTGGTGCCATAACAGTTAACGTCTTTAAAAATAAGTTATACGACTGTTTGTTTAATTAACATGTTTATTTAATTTTTAGTGTTCTTATCTCTTTGTTTCAGTGTGTTTACTTTGTTAGAATTTTTCTATTTTGTTTTTAGGCTATCATAGGACTTGTGTCCTCAGCCTTTATCAATGTATAATAATAATAATATTATAGTTTTTTAAACATAAGTATGTTAGCATCATTAATCATTATTATAAGAAAATACTAACTCGAAGGCAAAGCTGTCAATAGTGGGAGGTACAGAACAGCGAAACGCGTGCAGGCACCGCTCCGGGACAGATCGAGAGAATTGACCTTGAGTGTCACGCCTTTGGGATTACTATTTTTAATAAATTTATAACAAGTATTTCTATTTTTTTGCAGGACTAATTGCTTTCCAACATTTTCAGTGTTCCATGCTTTGTTTATTTTTAACATATCAACTGGCGAGCAATTGATAAAATATAACAATAATACAGTGTGAATAACGAACTTAATAAAATTATATTTTTTTATTTGCAGATTTCCGTTCTGTTAAATCAAGATCTAAACGTAGCGACAGACATTTGGGGAAGGACGAAAAACCATTTAAATGTGATATTTGTTCTAAAGAATTTATTCATAATAGTAAATGGAAACAACACTTAATAATTCATACTAATGAAAAACCATTTAAATGTGACATTTGTTCTAAAAGATTTAGTCAAAAAACTAACTTACGGTCACATTTAATAAATCGTACTAATGAAAAACCATTTAAATGTGACATTTGTTCTAAAGAATTTAATCTAAAATGTAAATTACAAACACATTTAATAATTCACGGTAAGGAAAAATCATTTAAATGTGACGTTTGTTCTAAAGGATTTAGTCAAAAATCTAACTTACGGACTCATTTATTAATTCATAATAATGAGAAACGATTTAAATGTGACATTTGTTTTAAAGGATTTAATCAAAAATCGAACCTACGGACTCATTTATTAATGCACAATAATGAGAAACTATTTAAATGTGACATTTGTTCTAAAGGATTTAATTACAAAACAATTTTACAGTCACATTTATTAAATCATACTAATGAAAAACTATTTAAATGTGACATTTGTTCTAAAGGATTTAATCAAAAATCGAACCTACGGACTCATTTATTAATGCACAATAATGAGAAACTATTTAAATTTGACATTTGTTCTAAAGGATTTAATTACAAAAAAAATTTACAGTCACATTCATTAAATCATACTAATGAAAAACTATTTAAATGTGACATTTGTTCTAAAGGATTTAATCGAAAATCTAACTTACAGACTCATTTATTAATTCACAATAATGAGAAACTATTTAAATGTGACATTTGTTCTAAAGGATTTAATTACAAAAAAAATTTACAGTCACATTCATTAAATCATACTGATGAAAAACTATTTAAATGTGACATTTGTTCTAAAGGATTTAATCAAAAATCGAACCTACGGACTCATTTATTAATGCACAATAATGAGAAACTATTTAAATGTGACATTTGTTCTAAAGGATTTAATTACAAAACAATTTTACAGTCACATTTATTAAATCATACTAATGAAAAACTATTTAAATGTGACATTTGTTCTAAAGGATTTAATCGAAAATCTAACTTACAACAACATTTATTAATTCACAATAATGAGAAACTATTTAAATGTGACATTTGTTCTAAAGGATTTAATTACATAAAACATTTACAGTCACATTCATTAAATCATACTAATGAAAAACTATTTAAATGTGACATTTGTTCTAAAGGATTTAATCGAAAATCTAAATTACAGACTCATTTATTAATTCACAATAATGAGAAACGATTTAAATGTGACATTTGTTCTAAAGGATTTAGTCAAAAAACTAGCTTACGGTCACATATAATAAATCACACTAATGAAAAACCTTTTAAATGTGACATTTGTTCTAAAGGATTTAATCAAAAATCTAACTTACGGACTCATTTATTAATTCACAGTAATGAGAAACGATTTAAATGTGACATTTGTTCTAAAGGATTTAAACATAAAAAAAATTTACAGTCACATTCAATAAATCATACTAATGAAAAACCATTTAAATAAATTAGTAAGTTGGTGCTCTAGTAATGGCATGGATATAAATACTAACAAATGTCACATTATCCGATTTTGTCGCAGCCATAATTTAATAACTTATAATTATAGTTTATTTCAACATGTTTTGAACCCTGTCGATCAAATCAAGAATCTAGGGATCACCTTTGACTCTTCCATGAGCTCTAATGGCCATATCACTGCTACAGTTCAAAAATCAATGAAAATACTGGGCTTTGTCAAGAGGACAACTCATGACTTCACTAATATAAACACAATTAAAATGCTTCTCTTTAGTTAGGACACAACTTGATTATTGCTCCTCAGTCTGGTTCCCACACTTCTT